ACCTATAATAATTATACCTTTTTATTTATGTGTTAATGTTTCATTCTATTTGAGGTGCTATTTGCAATTGCAAAAGTTTTTGTTTTTGTATATCATGACTTTTATTAATACTTTTTTACTAATTGTGCTATTTCGCAATAATTAGTATTTTATCAATCGTGTTACATGATATGTCCTTTCGTAATAACCCAAAAAGTCCACCCCCAAAGTCCTTCTAAAAAATGTCTACTAAGAAGATTATAGTATTTATTTAATGTATATCACTATAATTCTATTCAATTCATTAACTTAATATTTAATTAATACATCGACATTTATACGGAATGATTCATAAACATGTGTGAATGCTATAACGATGAAATCTTTATTCAAATCAAATCAAATGTTATATATACATATAGATATTTTTATAGTATAATTTCCATAAAATAATATTTATAAAATTTGAAAAAATTATTAATTGTTACATCTAAATATTCCTTTTATATTATACATTAATTCAACATTAATTCAACATTTGCTTTCTCAAACCTATTATATAATAATTTACATGCAAAATCTTTCTAAAAATGCGCTTGATTGTAAGCAAATCTATTGCAATTTCTTTAACTTACTTATTTCAGGACTAAACTAATTAATTTAAAACCATTTAATCTCGATGCAATTCTCGCCCCGCATTTCAATGCACGCGATATCTCCAGGAGAAGCGTGAATGAAGCGAAGAAGATGAAAAGGGCAGAGCAACAAGGTGGAGAGGCAAGGTAAAGGAAATAGGCGGTCGCATTGTGTTCGTACAGCTGTTTACCCAGTTTTCCAACAGCGTCGATGCTAATTTCGTCTGTATTGTATATTGATACACACGTGCATTCATCGCGCGTCGCAATGGGTTGAGACGCAAGGGGAAGATACGACGATAAAGAAGGATGCTTCTCTTCGATCGTGATATATGCGACGATTCACGTCACAAGCAAATTAGTCTCGCATTAATATGCAAGGCAATAGGTACTTAATTGTCAAATCGAAACGTAACGCGGCTGCCTTTGTTTTTACGATTAAAAGATTACTTTCGAAATTTATACGTTCCTTTATCGATGCAATTTTTTATAAACTGCTAAATTTTTAACTAATACGTTACATATCTATCATTAAAATTTATATACAACTTATATACATACTCTTCTTTAAATTCCAACGTCTTAAGAAGAGTCTTCAATATAATTTGAAACTTTCAATTTTGAGGGACAATATGTTAAATTCCATTCAAAGACATTTTTTTTTAATTGTCAATTGCATTTTTTTCTTATTGTCAATTCTTTTACTTTGTAATATTTTTCTACGAAAATGAATTAAAATCTCTAAAAAAGCATTTATTTATTACAATAAATTGCTATGTTATTTAGATTTGTTAAATCGGCGATTCGAATACGAATTGCAAATTATACTCTTTAAGCCTTCTTCTTTTCAATTTTATATTTCGAATTCTTATGCCACAAATTACTGAGGGTTATCTATCCGGCTAATAACCAGGTGAAGGTGATGATAACGCCAGTTAATGAGACTTTACGCAATGAATGCACGTGATTAACTGCGCTTATTTGAAAACCCGCCGCAAACTAATGGCAAACATTACTTCCGCAAGATGTGTAATATTTTAACCGTTTCCGGCATATGTATATTGTCGGAGCAGGCAACATGTATCACGCAAAAATATTTCATTCATCTTCGTAAAACAATATTGTAACGCATATAAAATAAAGAGGCCAAGAGAAATAAAATCTATCTCTAAAATATAGCATTATATCTTTGAATTCAAAGTGTCAAGTATTGAGAGCTATTTTTAAGATATTTAAAGGAATTTAAAACTTAATCAAGATTTGACTCGAAATGAACGACAAAGGAATATTACTGCGTTGCTCGAGCAAATGTGAATCATCAACGTCTTGCATCGCCAAAATAATCGGACCATTTTTCGAAACCATTGTATTTTTCCATTAAATAAAATTGCGTTCAGATAACAGCGTGGTAATTATAGAACTCTTCCTTCATTACCGTAAGTAATTAAAACTACCCTGGGTTGCGCATTTTCCGTTCCCGATCATTATGTCTACTAATCTCTTATGTTCCGCGATATCGCATATCACACACATGTTCGCTATTTAGTGACCTAGAGCCTTCTATAGCGATTATTATGTCACTGTCACACCATTTATCGTTTGAAATAGTTAAATTTTTTTGTTATGGAGAAATATTTACGTTTATAAAAACAAAAAACAAATAAGAGTTAACAGTCCGTATGATAATAACTCAAATTAGAACAAGAAAAGGCTTAGGACCGTGGCGTAGGATAACAGTACGGAATGACAATTCAAAAAATTAATAATTCTAAAATAGAACCACATATGTTAAAAAGTAAATTTAATAAAGAAAAATATTTTCTCTGACAGACATTTTTCCTTATTAAATTTACTTTTTAACATACGTAGTTCTGTCTTAGAATTATTAATTTTTTGAATTGTCATTCCATACTGTCACCTTACGCCACGGTCTTAAGCCTTTTGTTGTTTTAATTTGATTTACGTTTATATTTGCAAAAAAAATATAAATATATATATAATATATTATAATATAATATATGTAATTATAATAATTATTATAATAATTATAATTTTATATATATATATATATATATATATATATATATATATTTATATTATAATATATTATAATACAAAAATATAAATATATATCAAATATATATATATAAAATAGTTACAAAATATTCCTAGTTGCATTCTGCGAATAAATCAACATATTATACACATGATAAAAAATATATGATAATTAAACCTATTTTCTTCCGCTCCTAAGACCCATACGAGCTATATTTAATGTTGATCTCAAAAATGATTTTGATTACGATTTTCGATGTAATATCTGATTTGAGAATTTTCATCTTAATATCTATTCAACTATTACATAAAATAAGCATGTGCAAAAGCCTAAGGTGTCATCAATTGACGAGTGGTACACAATCTTGACCTAGATCCGACAGTTTCGAGTTGGTAGCTGTCACTTCTCAGCGCATCGCGATATATTGAAAATTCCAAGGTTATCACGCGCATTGGCACAGCGTCCCTCTTCATCTAGGCAGATTCGAGCAACGCCATGCTACTCGCCTCTCTCCTAGGAGAGTAGCCAATAAAGTGATGCCGACAAACGGCGCCGACGCACTCGGTTTCTCTCCTACTCTAGGTGAGGTGGCTTGCCGAATGAAATCTAACAGAGAATATCTTGTGCGCGCGCACAACTGCTCCGGAGGATGCCTATTGGCGTGATGAAATCGCATCTGCATTCATGCTTCGAGTTAAGATGGACGATGGTATTTTAGATCATGGACCGTGCACTAGGCCTGTCAATATGACAAATATTTTCCGGAATATGACAAATATTTTCCGGATCACTCTTTCATTTTCCTCCAATATTATTCCAACAACGAGTATTTGTTTATTTCGATGTAATTAGACAACAGAGTATCGAGGACACTATATGGGATATCAGTGAGAGAGCCTGAATTTTCAAGTTAATCGATTTTACTTGTCATTTCACGCATAAAAATATTAAATGATTATAAGATAAGATCCGATGAAATCATTGAATATTAAATATATTATAAAAATTATGAAAATTAAATATATAATTAAGTATATTAATGATATATATATATCAGCATCATCCTGCAGCATAATATATTTTATTTCAAACTAATGTATTTTATTCAATATCTAGTTATTCGAATATAATATTTAAGATAACCAGAAACATAATTCACGAATTTAATAACGGAAGATATCCGAATATAGAGGTAAAATTCGATTTATATTGGCAATAACATCGCATATTTGAAATATATTTTTTTTAATGAGAAAATAAAATACATAAAAAATAGCGATTGCTGTGAAAAATATGCGGTCTAGAAGAATATTTTAAATATGGCATATTTTTGATATTCAGCAGAAATGATAGATTATAGTAAATTAAATTATTGAACGATCATTTATTAATCAATTTGGAGTTAAATATTAGATTTGATTGACGGATTTATCGATCTACATGTACCAATTATTGCTTCCAAAATCTCAATCTCAATTGTCGCTATTTATAATGATAATGATTTAATTCTCTGTGTATTTGATACGTTAATTAAATTATTGCAATTAATATGTAAAAATACACGAAAATATATTATATATTTGATATAAATATATTATATATTTGATATAATTAGCTTATATAATTTATATAAAATACATAATCTTGTGCAATCAAAATACATACACATACGTATCACACAGACTATGCTCGAATCTATCACGTACTATTGCGGCATAAACCGAACATACGTTGCGAAATTTCAATTGCAACGTAAGCGAAGAACAATTTAAATTGAAGAACAATCCGCGACATTCAATCGTTTATGCGTGGGATGTCGTAGAGACCGCTAATTATCCATCCAATGATCTATACGACACGTGTCGTGCGAAATGATCGCGTCACATTCCAACGGAAATACGCAAGTATCGTATCCATCCATCGTGACGTTAATTCCAATATCGCCCCCTCCTCGGAGAGGAATTAATCCGCTATTAAACATATCGTCCTGACACTGATACAAAACAAAATACTCGCATCCCGAACCCCCTTCCTGCGGGAAGGAAACCACCGCCCATTGCCGATGCTTAGAGCGCATCTCGCGTTCTATCGCGAGCTGGTGGGGAGATTCTTACCTGTACATTATGTTTCTTCACCGGAATATGCGCGATTCTCGGACACGACGGGGGAAGACGCGCGCGCGCGTCATCATCATCCCCTTCGTGTCCCTACCACGGAGACGCCGGTGGAGGCGTGGCCTCCAGGTAGCACACGAGGCCGATGCGCAGGTGAGAGAAGAGTGAAACCCGAAGAGAGGCCAGGTAAGGGGAAGCCTCTACGGGCCAGCCACAGCCGACAGGCAACGCACAACGCACGCACGCGAGAGACCGTGCGTGCCCTCCTCGGCCACACCGGGGTCAGTCGGGGTCCTGCTCTTATTCAGGACACTCCGAGAGGGAAAAAGCTCCTTCGCTCAGACATCCACGGTTACCTGCAATCGTAGTCGCTACCTAGTCGCTGGTCTCGTCGCTTGACTTGAATCATACGCGATCGTCCCGACAGCCACGAAAAGCAAGAAGAGGAATCAGCTGAACCTCATCATTGACATTAAAGGGATTCTGCAAAGGGATTTTTTAAAGTCTCTCGCATCTTCTTTGAAGTTACGATCGAGGGAAGTCGAAGTAGTGGAGAAGAAAGATTGGGATCCGGGTGGTTTACATTCGCCACGGTCGACCTTGATGAACCACGTGGATCGCTTCTGGAAGAAGACTCGGTTGCCCGAGCGGGACCTGTTTCAACATCGTTCGAAAGACTCGATTCCGCGTTTTTCGAGCGCACGCGTGTTTCCGCGATCGGTATCTGTGCGAAAACGACGTGTGTCGGAAGTTTGACGTTTGCTGGAGGAAAATTTGTGTGATACGCGTCGGACACGCATCAGGGGAACCGATATAGTGTGCGATCCTCCATATGAACGCCGTAGAATTTTAGCGCATCGCTCTTGTCACGACACCTGAACGTGATGTGTGGTGAGTACAGGATTTGATTGATACGTCCAAATACAGCGAATGTTGATTGAAACCATCTAACCAGGTCAAACCGATGTATTAACATGTGGCACACTCGTTGATTAACTTAGTCGCTAGTACATTTTGGTCAACACAATGATCTTGTTTATCGTATACTTTTCTTGCGCGTATATTGATTTATCTAGAGCTATTTTTATATTATATTTTATATTTATTTTGTAGATAATATACCTAATTTATAATCAATTATCAAATTTGTATGTAAGTATTAAAGAAGCAGAATTAAATTTTTAGTAATAATATGAAAAATTTTATGATATTAACATCTTCAGTTAAGTGCAGTTCAGTTCAATTAGTATTTTACGTTTCGCGATTCACATAATTTTATTGAAATTTGACATATATATAATTTCCAGATGGAAAAACTTAAATTGTATATCGAAAATTTTTCATTTAATGCTGATCGATTTATTCAAATTTGCTAATCAGTTATTCAAGTAAAAAACATTAACGATCATACTAAGAAATTTATATTTATTTATACGAAATGAATACATCGATACCATAAGAGAGTGGCTTGTGTATCTCAGAATATATGTATCTCATTAATCATTAATACTTTTTTGTTCAAAATGATATGGATTCGATTTCTGACATTGACATCGTATCATGATGCTGATTTAAAGAATTAAAGAAGATTAACTTTTCGCGTAACTTTCCACGACGTCAATCGCAACTCTTATCAGAAGTAATCACTTGTGTCTCTTTTCGCTAATTTGCACCTGATCTTATATATTTTTTAAATATTACAGTCCTCTCCGTGTGAATTTCTCTTCTCTTCGTCATAATATTTTGAATTTCGATTATTTTCGTATTTAACATTTTCGTATTTTAAATAATGCGAAGCACATAGACAAATACATTCGCATTTTTATCATGTAATAATACTTGTTATAATAATTGAAATCCGTTTATGCGTTTGTCTCAATTCGTATTATCGTGTTCATTCAATGAATAAGAGCTGATTTATCTCATGCATTTAAAAATTTTCAGTTGGCTATTGTGTTTACCTTATCTCGTATGCATTTTATCGTCGCATGTTCATGAGTGATTTATTTTCAATATTCAAGAAGTGTCAAAATCATTCATTGTATTTTCGTCGCGACATATTTTCGCCGTTAAATCACATCTGCAAATTTTATCATACATATATATATCGGTCTTAATAAAATTTTGTATAACTCTTTCATAAGAAATACACAGATTGCGTATATTTGCACAATCTGTTCTAACGACTTGGGTTTTTGTCTTTTTGTTTTTATGTGTTCGAAGAGCAAACACTACGATTCTAATTACAGAATATTAATTGACTCGTTTTATAGGTTTTTAAAAACGATTTAAAAACACGCAATAAACATTTTTGAAGAATAAATCTTTTTTTAATTTTATCACGCATAAAAACTATTGACGTTTTTTGACATTTTTATAAACGAAGAATTATTTCAGAAAATATGTGCTAATTTCAAGCAGCTTTGTTACCGAATATTTTATGTACGTTGCCATATTCTCTATCTCAGATATATACTATAAAATTATATTTATTTATTCCACTTACGTATCTCTATTTCCTGATCTGATATTTAAGATTAAAATTAGACGCAAGTTTATAGAAGCTACAAACAATTTCTTAAATAAATGAAAGATTTTTGCGACGCGCGTATATCATTTGTAATCACGAAAGCGAAAAGACTACACTGGATAAGCCGAATGGTGATAACCAAAGCACGATGCATTACTTAGAATAGTTGTATTTTAAACACCTAATTGAATGCAAATATTACTGTTAAAAACACGTAAATTTCGAAAACATCATTAAACTTTGACTCCTTGCATAAAAAAATCATGGCTAACATACACGCAGCTATTTGCATGTTAAAAATATATAAAACATTAACATAATTACTCTCTTTTGCAGGAAATATAAATAATTTTTTAATTATGTTAAATAAAAATTTGACATTTTGAGAGGTTTCTTTAGTACATGTGTGTTGAATGTTTCTAAGCTCGATAGCTCGTCTTCTAGTTTTAAGTAAATAATTTACTTAAAACTAGAAGACATATAACATTAATAATCAAATAATTATTTAATTAAATGCAAATGTTATAGTTATTCTATTTGTCATCTTTTTTAACAGAGACATATGGATAGATTTTTTAAATTATATTTTTAATGGATTTATTGAATGCATATATATTACATTGGATTCATTACAATATCAATCGAATCATACTATGATATCGAAGAGTAGCTATTAAAATTGGAATTTATTAACCTTGAAAGTAAAAATGAGGTGCTTATATCTCTGTTCAAAAATGAAGCGACAACACATTCATATATAACTTATTATTAGCTGACAAAAATCCGTCTTTAAGAGATTCGGAGAAGAACATCTGACACTTGTTCATACAATTCTTTTAATCAAGGCTTCGCGTAAATATTCATGATTATTTTTCGAGATTTCGTACAAGTCGCTACGACGAAAGTTATTTTCGTAATTAACGAGCAAACAGAATTGGTCTCTTGTGAAGCTTATCATTAATTAATTAATTGGTTTGTGTGTGATTAGCGGATATATTTTCATTATCTATTATTGGATGCAACATTATTATTATTATGTGCAAATTTATAAAAAACAAGAGAAAAAGAGAAAGTCTATTAAAGTAATTATATTCACTATAAATGAAAATTTCGAGATTCAGAAATTCGTGCGAATTGAAAACTTTCCGCATTTACGAAAACATTATGAATCAGAGAGAAGTGATGAATTTATAATTAGAAGAATTTCTTCTCATTCCTACTGATTACGGTGATAAGAAAACGAACGACTCATTGACTCGGAATTTACTTTGGATGCGTTAAATCTTAAGTGTGAAATTAAGAAATGACGCAGTTAATGTATCGAATTCGTCAAAGCGACAGGTATTTCCACAAGTGGAACCGTTGAAGTGGAGCGTTGAATCGATCAATCTTCATCATTAATCGAAGATTTTTATTATTGCACCGATTATCGTATATTGTCAGTGCAGTTCGTTATTATTTCTCTCAAATTTCTTAGGTATTGAAGCTTGTGAAAATATCATCAGTTATCATTCGCTTTTAAAGATATTTGTTGTATCTGCAAATTCAACGATGATTGAATGCTAACACTCGAAAAAATATTTGTAATCATTTGATATATTTATATTTCTCTCATGGATATACCTACATTTATTTTTTCTTTCTCTTTCTTTCTTTATTTATACTGCCTAATCAATAATAATTAATTGCGATAAATCGTCGACTATTATATCTATAAAAAATACAGTTGTTACGCACATATATTATACGTTGCAGTTATATTGATTGGGAGATTTTACGAGAATAATATTTTTAATGCTTGTGCTTGACATTGTTTTTTATACTTTATTGATTGCCACATAGTTGAAAATGTTAGTAGGAAATCGGCTACTCGCGACATTTATGATTTATTCTCACACGCGTGCAACAAACAGGGCACAGCTCTTATTTGTGGACAACATGATTCATGGATGATAACAATCTATAAGTGCGGGGCGTAATGTATCGTTAAATTATTCCCACTTGTTAAAATATATCCGTCTAATCCGAATCCCCGAATTTTCGACACGAATCATTGAAAGCTTCCTGTAGCAAAAAACGTCATGAGATTTCGAACCTACGTTTTTCCCTCTTTCTGTGCGAAATCTTTTCAGCTTCTATGTATATGATTTTCTCTTTGCAATTGGCCTTCAAATCATACATTATTTGCGTCTTGCAATTTCAATTTTTATTTCTATTATAATATAATTCAATTATAATATTAATATTATAATATTACAATATAATTCAATTTTTAATTTATCTTTCACATATATACATGTCTACACACTCACTTGAAATTTTAACAAATCAATTTGGAAATAGACCTTATTGATAATTTATATAAATATATTTCTCAATTATTTTTCTAGAATACAATACATGATGATACATATGATCTAATAAATGAAATATTCATATATTTGTCGCTTATATTAATATTCATATATTTGACAAATATATGAAATATTCATATATTTGTCGCTTATATTAATTTTTTCTAATTTCTTTTATAACTTAATAGATTCGGGATGAAGATTGATCACTTTCGATTAATCTACTTCTTACGCATTTTTTTCTTATTTTATTACATCATCATTTAATGCATTTATTTAAAAAAATGATCTTTATCGACTTTTTTCATATATGGACTGCTTCATGCTCGTTTCGCTTTTTAATTCGCTCACCAAAAAACTCGACAAAATAACACATTTGTAATAAACATTCGTCGATGATTGGCAGAAAATTGCATCATGCGCTGTTATATCTATGGTAACGTAATGCGAGTAATAAATATTTTTCGCTGCCGGCGCATGAATTATGTAGGAATGCGGCTCGTACGAACGCATTACAGATTTATTCAAACAACGAGTAGCGGTTATTAGTCGTAGTTTATGCGAACGTGATTCTTATCAATGCAGTGGAACCTTGGAGCCAGTGATTTACCTCGTGAATTATCAACGCTTTCCGACGCATCGTTTCACGCAAAATGGCTATGCATTTCTATTTTCGCTCACGCATCGCGTGGTTTACAAATTATCTGCGCTGACAAGAAATTGCACTTTGTTGCAACTGCAATCTTTTTTTTTAGTTTGTCAGATTATTTGAATTGTAATTTGTTAGAGTTGGAAGAGAATTCCTTTTTATTATAATATATATGTAAGTTTTTATATTAATTACTATTTTCTATTAAAAAATTTTATAAAATCTCCATTTATAAAATTATATAACAAGATTATATAACAAGAGAGATTTTATATTATAATTATTATCTATTATAATTATAATTATATTTATAATAATTATAATATTATATATATGATTATTATTATATATATTATTATGTATTTGTTTCTGAAATTAAAAACAAATTAAGAAATTAACGTTTATAAAAATTTAATATTTAATAATAATTTCGAATTGCATATAATTTCTCCTGAAAAACGCACACTAAATTCATCAAAATGCCGTGAAAAAAAAATTCTTTGAGCGTGTCATCTGAGCAAAAATCAAAAAAGCTCAATGTCATTACATAATATAATTGTAATACAATTGTAATATAATTGGCAAAGAGCAACCTCTGTACAATGCATGTCACAGCAAGATCATCTGATCGCTAATCGGCACTCGCTTTCAAAAGCCTTATTCTGTCAAGTTTGCTACCGAACGATTGCCGCGGCATTTTATCGCGATTCGTCGCGAGCGAAGCTGTCAAGCAATCGCATCTGCCTGATCTCGCGATTAAGATCTTGCCTCTCGATTCCTCCGTCCGTTTGTCCGTCCGTTTGTCCGTTCGTCCGTCCGTTCGAGTCGCGCACGCACGATTTATAATTCATTTCACCGACCGACAATCCGCGTTTGTGATTTCTTTCCCGGCTGCCCTTCCGCGCTTTTTTTCCCTGCCGCCGCGAATCTGATACACGTGAAACGCGGCGACGACCGCCGACGATGCATTAAACAAGCCGACAAGCTCGCGTTAAATGCGACTAGCATAAACATCCCGTATATTTATCGGTGCCCGAGATTTTCGTGCGATACGGAAAAAAACCACAGTATTACGGTTTAAATAATCTCCCGGCTGGGTGACTATTATGAATATTTATTTTATAACCGCTGGTACTTTTTCCCATTTTCTCTATTATTAAGCAGGACGAGATAAATATAACGTACAATGAGCTCGTAATTTGGAAAATTACTCATGGCATCTTTCAATTCTCAGGAGAGAGATGTGTAAACTTTCTGCGATAAATGATCTTTTTAATTTTGATATATGCGGATCACGTATCATAATTTTTTATAATTATTATTAATTTTTTTTTATAATTATTATTAATTATTATTATTTATTATGATACTTGTTGAGTCACAATCAATTTTTAAAATGACACGAATGAAACATATTTAAATCGCGATAAGTCTAATATACGTATGTATATCAGAAGCACATGTAGAAAAGATCATATCGATGATAATTTTTTATTTATGAAATTTTTATAATCATGCTGATTCATAATTACTATTTTTATTTTATTTAACTTTTATTTAACTATTTTTATTTTATTAAAATTTTCTTTATTTAAAGTTGAAACGTTAATTTATTCGCGCTTATTCTCGTGCTTATTTTGCATAAGTAAATTAGTATTTTAACTTTAATATTTTAATTTATGCATTTTAAATTTTCAAAATTATGTTTTGTGGGTATTTTAACGTAACAATTTTTTTTCATTACGAATAATAAAAACAAGAACACATTCGCATGTTCAGTTTGAAATATTATGTATTTACATATTTCCAAGATGCAAAATAGATTTGGAAGACACACATTTATGTTACATAATGCGCTTATCATTTCGCAACTCTTTCAACATGTTAATTGAAATACAACCAGAATCATGATTATGATTTAGCCTGTTTTCATTTTCTATTCAAATACGCACGAAACAATTTCGATCGCGTTGCTCACGATTGGCATCATCAGATTTTATACGTCATGAAAGAATCCGCTCCAAGATTCCATATATTATTTATTTTTCTGTTAACGACCATGTTTCATGTATATAATAAATCCATTCGCGAAATGCAACTGACCGTGGACATGTTCGTACATTAATTATAGCTTGTATTTTAGATTTCGCGGGGTTTTTATAGCTTCATGATAATTAACGACATTAAATACAAATAAAAAGTCTAATTTATAATTAATGAAAAATATAAGTAACACAAATAATTAAAAATAATTGTTAAAAACATTTAAAAAAAATGTTTATTGTAATTTTATATATCTAAATTTCTTTGACACTTTTTTAAAGAATCAATATTATATATAATTATTAAATTTAATAAAAGGGAAAGAATTTTAAAAACAATAAAATATATCCATTTTATTTTAAATATCTTTTACATCTCTTCGTTTTACATCTCTTCGTTTTTATCTATGTAATTTTTATCTATGTAACACATAAATAAATTTATTAAAATAAATTCATTAAAATTAAAATGACACAAATTTATTAAATGAAAATCTTCATATTCAATGTGTTTATTTCCTGAAAGTTTTTTAATACTTATTAAAGATCTCATGAGAATTCGAATAGTTTTTAGAAAAAAATGTGATAAAAATTATCACGATAAGTCGCTGTTAATTTATATCTAATATAAAATGCTTTAATTATTTTAAATACGTCATACGTGTATTTTGAGTATATACTAAAAAAGTGTTATTCTCAATAATTTGCAATTATCAATTTTGCTATTCATACGCATTACACTTGTATCTTATGCCTGTGCGTTTTTTGGTACGAATAATAAGCCATGCTTTTTACTCTCTCGTAATAGAAGCGGTACCTCGAACTTGGCACATGAAACCGGAACTTCATTGCAATCCCGTTGGAGTTCCGGCGGGCGCCTTGTCACCCCCGGCCACCCTCTCGCCACCGGGTAGTCCAAGCATAATCACGCTGCCATCCTCACCTTGGAGCCCAGGTGTACCGGGGAGCAGTTCGAGCACCATTGCCTCCGTTAATGCACCTTCGGGCCTTTGTCAACCCGTCCCCGATCGTTTCAGCGCTTTCACTCTCGTCTCAAATTACAACCCCGATTTGAGACTGCAAAATCTACCACTCAGCTCCACCGCGCGAGGTAAGCCGCGAAATTCGTCACCTTGCAAATTCGCCAAAATTACAACGGAATAGCACGGAATGGGAAATAGAGTTATAAGGGGGTAAATTATATTTAAATACGATGGGGGAAAATATGAGAAAGAAATATATCGAATATTATCTAATGCATCTATCATTTCTATGAATGTGTGTGTGAATCGCATGAGATCCATTTTAAATATTGTTTAAATTAATCATCTATTTTCTTCCCCAAATCACAAAATAAATCTCTATGATGACATAATTTGTAAATTTAATGTTACACTCGAGGATTATGACTCATTTCCTTAATATAGTTATCTTTATTGTCTCAGATATGCGGTGTGGACTAATGTACGGCGGTTACGGAGCATCCGGGGGTGCCTGGTGGGCTCGTCACATGGGCCTGCTGCTACCACATTCTTTGCTCCCACCTACAAGAATCCCGTCCCAACAGACAACACCAGTTACAAATTGCTCGCCCATTCATCCCGAACCTCTTAGTCCGGCACGTCCCGGATCACCGCGAAGATGCACGCCAGAGAAAGCCAAATTCGGTGAGATTTGAATGTTTTTCAAGTAAATCTCTCTAGATTACATCTCTCTCAATTACATCAATTAAATGTTCATACGACCAAAGAAACCTCTCTTGCTAAATGAATGATACCTAAGAATGATATTCAATTACCTAATTGGCTACACCGATCATACAAAACGCATTTAATATATTATTTTTAACTATTTCTAAATAGTTTTTTGAATAATAATTTATGATGGTTTTCTTGCGATATATTAAATTGGATATTGCATCAATTAAAAATTCTTTGATTCTTTAATATATTATGTGAGACAATTAGATTAATATTGAATATGTAATTTTAATAAGTGCAAAGAAAAAAGGACGAATATATTAGTTAAATAATCGAGCACCTTCCATTGATGTTGGTTAAATTTTTAGAACGATCAATAAAATTATTTCGATAATTGTCTTTATCTGTTTTTTTATAAACTTTTTCGAGCGATTAACGAGTAATTATCGGTAAGTGGGTGCTGTCGATCGATCAACATTGTCACACGGAACTTCATTTATAACCATCGCTTGATTTTGCTGCATGGATATTAATTACAACTAATTAATTTCTATCTATACATTTATATATGCGTGTAAAAACTATTATAAGATTTTCCCTTTTTTAAAATCAAAAATTATTATTTTTTTGATATCGTAATATTTGAGTAATAATACGGAATTTTTTGACTCTTTATATGTGTCTGTCTATTATAAATTATATTCAATAAAAAGATATTTATATGCAAACGTTTAATATGTATCGATTTATTTCGATATATTCGATAGATTGCATTGTCTATAAATTTTATTTCTCTATTAAATCTGGAATGTGTAAACTAGACTATTTAATACATGCAATAATCAAAGATTTTTATAATTTCCTTTTTTACATATGAATAAAAAATTTATCCTTTGGCATAGTTTCAAACAAAAAAACTGGGTCAGTTCAATATAAAAAACAAGCGTTTGATGAATGACGGGATAGACGGATGGCTTTTCGTTTCAGAAGAGGAGGTGCCATTGAACCTTAGCACGAAGCCGAGCGATGTCTCGTCGAGTATCGGCAACAGGAAAAGTGAAATCTGGTCACCGGGCTCGGTGTGCGAGAGGGAGGCCAGGGAAACGAGAGCACCGTCCTCCACGAGTCCGTCCTCGACCCCTATAATTACGCGGCAAATTCATCATTCACCGCTTACTCCGCCCTCCTCGACGGAAAGGACTTTTCAAGTGAGTGTTAATATATTGTATATCTTCTTATCCTCTTTCGTTTTATCTCTCGAACCAGAACCGCTAAAGTTGTTTATTCCGAGAACGAGTGATTCAATGTTGCGTGTAACATGAAATAACACTTAAAATAATCCAAACTCAACATAGTTGATCATGATTTTTAACGTTGCGTGATAATACAGCAGAATTCTGTTCGGAAAATTATTATCGAAGTGTTTCATGGCAAAATCCCTTTCTATCTCAATCGACTCGCAATTAATAAGAGGGGAAAAAATTCAACATAAAAATTCAATTATTTAATTTGAGAATTGTAAAGAAGTATTTTTATGTGCGGTTCTCTAGAAGATCAATGATGACGGACTTTAAAAGATACTCGATAAGCTTTCGAGAAGTAATAGCTTCCGTGATTTTTCCATGATATTCGTTTTATCGACAAGTGAATCGAGAGATTTTACGAGATGGATAAATATTTTTGATTCGAACTTCAACCCAATATTCTGACTTCGTAAAGAATCTTCGATTTCCGCCCACGCTTGCATCGATCGATTGTCTGATGACCTCTAAATAATGCATAAAATCATTTACCTAGTAATTGATCTCGTTTTAGCGACTCTTTCCTTTATGTTTTTCTTTTATATGTATATTTCTAAGTTTTGATGTTTTTTTAATAATTTTTTAATAATTTATTTCATTATATTAAAGAACATAACTTGTATATATACAGTAGATATGTACAGATATATATACAGTAGATAGCCTTTGTATAACGTTGTCCTATAAAAATTTAATATTTAATAAAAAGACTAGATTTTTTCAAATGAAATAATTGATATGAAAAATAAGAAATTTGATTATTTTGCTTTAATAATTAATTCTTAGATATGTAAATATTACGATAAAAAGTATTGTTACGAACATTTAAAAATAATGCTTTACATATATCGATAAGGATTAAATAAAATATTTAATCATATATGAGATTAAGAGTCCTTTTTTCTTTTTATCAATCACATTTTTAGTTAGTGCCTCGTAGATAACTTGTCTACTATGTGATTTTCCTATAAGTGAAGACAAGGACATTATTCTCGATCGGATTAATAGTTTACGAGCTAAGCTTCTCAGAACGTGACAGCTTTTGAAAAAGGTCGCCGATGATATATGTGGAGCTTTTTTTTTTTACGAGTCACAGCGAGAAAGTGCCAATCTGATGGTCACCAAAATCGATATTTTTTTACTGCAAACAGAAGAAGCGATTTATTTCAGACAAATGTTAACATTTTTTTTACTGAGCATATTACATCTATTATGTTTATCTCCCAAATTCGTAAGTTTGTACAATTCCAATTATTACGATCAATTTGATGAATTTTTTAACTTTATATCTTGCATAATAACATATATTCATATATCTAACAATAAGCAAATAACTGATGTATTCTATACAGCAAAAAAAGAAAGTTTTACTAGATTATTATATAATAATTCAGATAACATATACACAATATATTCTATGAATATTTTATCCAGCATTCAATAGATTTTCGTGCAAGAATATTTAAAAATAATGCGATACACATATCGATAAGAATTAAATAAAACATTTAATTATATATGAGATTAAGAGTCTTTCTTTCTTTTTCAATCACAAAACAAGTATTTTTTATAAATATGATTAATAATATTTACCGCAGAAGCTATCGAATTATCAAAATATAATTTTATTTTCAATAATCATAACATATAAATAACATATAAATATAATTTATAAAATTGAAATATATATTTATACATAAATTTATTCAAAGAAAATTTATTAAAATTTTAAATGAGTTATTAACAAGATAATAATCTATCTTTTCTTTAAAAAGCTATTATTAAAATTTGGATACTTGATTTTCCCATCAGGATGAATCTTTTGGGTACTGAGTTTTCCTATTAATTAAGTTGTCTATTAATCAAGGTGTGTTCAACGGAAGGATTTTGTCGGCGAAAAACTGTGAAAATTCAATATTATAATTATACTCCAATATTGCCATTATTTTATACCAAATATTTAATGTTTTATGAAATATTTTTTTCCACGCCAAATATAATCTATTGCTCTCATTTCTTGAATTGATTAATAATAAATCGATACATCGCTTTTCACTATTTAAATCATTTGAGCTAGTTATTCATGCCACAAATTCTAAATATTCGATATATATACATATGTTTTTTTTCAATATTTTTATATATTTATATATTTGCTATATATCAATATAAATTTTTTTATCAACATTCAATTATTTTTTATTCGTTATTCTATACATTAATTGTTTTCCGTTATTTGAATTATTCGATCCAAATTATTCGATATCCTACTCATTTAATCCGGAAATGATAATAAATTACCGGCGAGAGAAATTTAAAGTGTACGTGACATATTCGAGTCAATAAGTACTATTGAAGAAATAATTGCCGTTTTTACCTCATGGCACAATAAATTAAAACTCTCATTTCCGCAACTTCAATTTAAAATGAATAAGTCACGTGATATATTTACTTGGCTAAATAAGCGTCGCTTTAATTTAACACGTACGAATCGTTACAAAGTGAAAGTTAATCATTAATTGATAATAGCTAAAATTGATGGTAAGGAATAATCATCTTTTCTCTTAGAAACATGTCAAAACAATCGCACGGCCAATTTCCTTTTATTTTATGTATTTGACGTCACGATGTATCGTTTAATGGTTACATTTAAATCGTTAGCACTTTTACAATCTCTTCTATGAACACTGACAAAAAGTAATCATTTTGTAAAAATATTCTAACAAAAAGTAATCATTTCATAGAAATATTCTCACGAAAGTATATGTTTGATACTATATATATATATATATATATATATATATATATATATATATAGCGTATAAAATATGTCATTATCTTGGAAAAAGATTCAATGCATGTCATCCTCCAATAAAGAAAATATTGTCGTCGTTAAATGTTTACGCTCAAATATGAGATGTCATCATTAACTGTCCCGCATCTGTTACAATGTAAGCACATTCTATTTACAATGAACATTTACAATTAACATAACGAAGTAATCTTGACGAACGAGTTATCGGAAGAGAAAAACTGCTTCAGCCTACTTCATCACGACACGATGTCGCGATGTCGCGACATTTCCTCTCGGTACGCGCAGAAAAAGAAGAGAGAGAGAGGAACGAGCAGTGTTTTACATACATATCGAGTGAAAACCGGTCGATCTCCGTTCCAGAAAAAAATCACACGGAGCGATATACGCGGAGTCACGCGATACGAATTTCTTCGGGGCGCGTAAGTACCCTTAAGTACATCGGGGCGAGGAAACGGGTCAAACATTTGACGAATATCGGGGGACCTCGATACAAAAGACCTCGCCGCAATTACGTGTGATTGAATGGAAGTAGAGAAACTCGCCTCGGCCGTGGTTTTACGTCCACGATACGTAACCGTAACCCGACATATTAGGGTATGTAGGCCGCGTATATGTACGAGAGCGCGCACGTACATACATATGAGATTTTTGTGTGGAAAGGACGTTAAATTCCTGCTACTCTCTCTACTTGATCTTTTTATTGTCATTACACTTGCAACTGAATTTAATTACTGTGTGTTCAGCAATTTAAAGTCCTTCAAGGTAAAATGTTAAAATAAACCAACCATATATGTATATGTATTTTGGAAGGAGCAATTACGATTATTTAAATATTTTGTCTTCAAAACTAAAAGACTTTTTTATATACATAAAATATATATTATATTAGAGGTATCGGATCAAACGGACAGGAAAAGGAACGGTACCGAATAAGCACTGAGGCGAGATTTAGTTAATAACTTAAAAAAAAATATTATATTATATAGAAGTCTGTAGAAACGAACACAAAGACAAGATGGACGATCAGCTCGCTCGAATAGCGACTAGAATACAGACCGTCAGATGTCGATATAAAATGATATAATATTTTATATAATATCAATAATAATATTTAATAATATTTAATAAAATTTATAATATATAATATTTTATATATATTATATATATATATAAAAAAAAAGTTTTTTAGTTTTGAAAACAAGCAAAAAGAATTTGCAAGATAAGTTATTTGTTCTATTATTGATTCATACTTTCTATTTCAAATATTTATTATGACTTTGCTTCTAATATTTATCGATAATATAATATTTATTCGCTTCTAGTATTTATTTTACAATGTTACTTCTAATACAAGTTTCCTTGGAGCAAATCATAAAAATCGTCAAGCACATCATCGTCAATTTCATCGAATGCTAATTTTCAAAGTTATTCATTTTTAAAGTTATTTTGACAAATATGATGTCTTCTCATTTCATTTGTAATTTTTACCGAAGTCTCGATTAAGTATATGATTCTTCATAAATTAAAAAGAATTTTTCCTCACCATTTTTCAAAATTCATTTAGATAACAGATTTCACACATGCGCATCGTTTTTCTAAGCAGATTTTTTAGACTCTTCTAAGTCTTCTTTCCATAAGAGTTATGCTTAAATTTGGAAAAGCAACGCTTAAGAATATATCCTATCCTCTCGTATAATTATCGCAATTTTTCTGCGGTATACAAATAATTCACCCGTGGGAAGCTACGATCTCCTTTACTTAATCCATGCCTTCGCCGACAAACCGGCAGATGTTCCGACGACAACAACGATGATGTCGACGACGACGTGGTATCGAGAGAAAAAGGAGTCGGACAAAGGAGCGCGGCAAGTGATTAACGGTAATTACGCGATTTCGAGCGTCGCGAATCGCGAGGAGCGCAGAGACTAAAAGACGGGCCCGAGGAACTGAGAATGCGGAGGAACACGCGGAACTCTCTCGCGGCTTTGTTTCCGAGCCGTACCGGAAGCAGACGCTTTCGTGCGGTGACAATAGCGGGACCGCCTCGTCGTCTCCGCTCGTCTCGACTCTCTCGTAGCTTGTCACAATACGTCGTGTTTCCTTCGCGATCTCTCTCAACGGACGTTCCGCCGGTGCTTATTAACGAAAAAACACCACCCCCTCCGCGCCATTTGCTCTCCTTTTCCCAGAATCCGCGAATGGGATGACGCGTTGAGAGCATCTTGACAGGTGGACGACGGGGAGCAATTAAGAGTGACAATTGTTACGCGTGGGAGTCGTTACTGTCGTGACTGGTGTGACCATGTGTGACGAGACTATACTGCTTTAATTGCAGTTAAATTGGCCGAAGGCTTTTAAATATATTCCTCCGTTGCTTAAACTTATCCTGGATTTTTAAATTACGCGAAAGATTATTCCTTGATCAATATTTACAAAAATTAATTTTTAATGCTAAACGCTCACATTTGGCAATTTTTTATAGGAGCAAACGCATAATACTGTAATAATAATCGCGATTAACCGCGATTATATTTCTAGATTATCAATTTTGCTCTCAATCTCATAATTTTTTTTAACTTATCCTGAGTTTTTAAATTACACGGAAGGTTATTCCTTGATCGATATTTACAAAAATTAATTTTTAATGCTAAACGTTTACATTTGCTCCTTTAGAGGAGCAAACGCATAATACTGTAATAATAATCGCGATTATATTTCTAGATTATCAATTTTGCTTTCAATCTCATCATTTTCATCCGATGACAAAAATTAAAATTCGCGCACGATTATTGCCGAATGTCGCTCGTGAAGATAGGTCGCTCTTCCTCATATTGATCGCGGCGCATCGTGAATCATGCGTACTTGCAGTCGCGAGTAATAATATTCCGTATATATTCATATGCCATATATATTGTCAGCCTGGACACGCATCGAACCGCGCCGCCGGGACATTGTAACGACTGGCGCCCATGTGACAATGAGCTAGAGAAGAAAGAGAACGAAAGGTGGAAAAAGAGAGAAATACACAACGCTTCGTGAACACAGGTGTGCCTGGCGTCCCGACGTCCAAGAGCGCACCTTCCGTCTCCCTCATCGTCCGCATTTTCCCTTCTTACGCGTCCGCGATTGAAAAGCGAGAGACTTTATGGCGTTCGGAGAAGTCGTGAAGACTCGTAATATGTTTTACGGCGATTATAACAATCGCTGTAAATGTGAGAAGAAAATTTAAGCTTCGGGCGAGAAAGAAAAATTTGAAGAAACGAAAAAGATTTAGCGTACACATAAATTATTATCGTTATGCAATATGTTGAATTTAAGATATTTCTATAATTTTATAATAAATAAACTTTAGCAAACTTTTGAATAAATATGACAGTTTTAAAACAACATTAATAAAATTCATTAAACAAATTCTTAATGTACGATATAATATTTGCAATATGCTCTATAGCTTGTTTTCATGGTCGCAAGGTTGAGAAGGCATAATTGCAGAAAGAATTTTCTTGAAAGGAATATAATCAATATCGCGTGTGATGCGCGGAAACATGAGCTGTCCAGAAGGAATTGATAAATTAGCTACTTAGCGGCTTAATAGTTAGGCGATGGTGATTTATCAGCAAAAGAAAATGTCTATTTAATAACAAAATGGAAACCACTCTACTTTACTAGACTCACAAAATCGGTAAAATTAAAAATGAAAAATTTAAAATATAATTAATAAATATATATATATATATATATATATATATCAATATATATATATATATATATATATTTCTTTATCAATTAGATAAGATATACAATAAGCTGTATATGTAAACCATTTGCTTTTTGTTTGTTATAATAGTGTAAACAATGTGGTAAAGCCTTCAAACGGTCAAGCACACTCAGTACTCACTTGCTGATCCACTCTGACACGAGGCCTTATCCCTGTCAATATTGTGGCAAGAGGTTTCATCAGAAGTCAGACATGAAGAAACACACGTACATCCATACCGGTGAGTCAGCAATTCATCGATTCAATTTCCAATATGTTAAAAGAGATAATATGAAAATTAATTCTTCTAATCATAATTAATCATGTGACAATCAAATTATAAATTCTTTCTTATTATTATTTGAATAATTTTATTACGAGAATTTCCTTTTTTTATTTCTTGTCTCATGGCTCGCGTTGATATAATTATGAAAATCCTAGTTCACACGCTCACGTTTATAAATTTATTAGAATGCTTTTTATATATGATGTCACATATTACATATTACACATGCAGGAAATGGGAAGAAGTCATTGTTGCATACATTAATATTCAATAGATAAATGCTTATATAAAGTAAATTATATTCACTATAATAGAGATTCTACATTTAGTTTCAAACTACAGAAATTGATTGTTCATATTGGATCACTAATATGATTTATTAATGCTTAAAAAATATATGAAAAAGAATTCAATATGAATATAATCGACACTATACTTTTAAATACGTATATTTTAAATACGTAATAATTAAAATAATCATTTTCTATTTTTAAACTAAGTTCGCGGAAAAATTAAATATCATATATAGTATGTATATAAAATTTTCTAATAAAATAATATAATATAATATAAATTTTATTAAACAAATTTATTAAAAAAATTTCAGTAAAAAATAATTTTATAATAAAATAATCACATATATTTAAGCAAATAATTTCAATTGCAAAGTGAAACGAAGGTTTATGTGGTTCCTAAATATTTGATATATAAAGTCTCAGAAATACGAATGTTTTCCGATCTCTTTGTCATCACTTTCGGTCCTCTTTGGAAAGAGATTGTAATGCGCTAACCGGACAAAGACGGGCAGACCATATGACGAAGTTTCGGCATACGAGACTGTTGCGTGTGTATCGATAATTGCAATCGTCGGTAACAAGCCTTCACTTATGTATATCTAATTTTTACGTTACGGCTATACTCGTGCAACTCAAGTTTTGTCCTCAGAATTACAGCTTGTCGCGTATTCTCCCTTAAACTTGTTCTTTCTCCTCGACCAAATGTTGCATATCGCCGATCGATAACTACAATTGTTAGTAACGAGCTTCTCTCCTTAGTCTCTACACCCGAACGGAAGGCCCAAGCGAGCAGTTAAAAATAGATTCGATAACAGGATAGCGCGATATTAAACGATTGAAATGGTTAATCGACTTCCAACACTATATTCTTCATACGTAACGTAAATGTTTTCTCCAGTTCTATCTTTGTTAGACAATACTTTCGAAGATAGATCATAAAATAATTGTAATTGTTATTATAAAATTCTATATAAAATGCTTTAACTCTTTGTATTCGTAATAATTTGAACCCAGTGACAATCTAGACAGTTGAGGGCAAATACAAGTGTAAAGAATTAAATTTAGTCACCCTTGAATTTGATATCGTCATTCTTTTTCATGTTTTGTCATCTATCTCCAACTGTTCTTCATAACACTTGGAATAAAAATGCGCGATCGAGTCTTTGACGGGTGGTTTCAGAATTATTTATAAAGGCTCTGTATCTTGTTACCATCGTGGTAAGTTAGTTTGTGTATTATTCAGACTATTGGTGTCCTCTGATCGAAATGTTCGAACACAAGTCGTGTATCGTGAATCGTCCAAAAGATAGGAAGAATTTATTCTTTTATAGTTTCTGAGAAATGACGAACAAGGTTCATGGACTTCGACAATTTTATGCCTGGAGCCTATTATTTTAATGTCTCACTACAATTTTGAAAATAATGTGCTCGAGAAGCAAGAATTAATGTCATGTTATTCATAATAAACCATTATATTTGTCATAATTTTAATTATATTCATAAAACCTAATAATTTCATAAACATCGATATTGATGAGATACAACCCTAATAAAATTAAATTTGTTAATATCTACATAATGTATCGATTTTGGAACAAGTCGTCATATTGTAAACAATATACATTTGTTAGTATACCAAAATATTTTACCCCCTCCCTTTCGTAAATATTTTAATAAATGCCAATTAAATATGTCTTCCACACTTTGTAAATTAAGATACTAATTTAATTAATATTTCAAGACATCATTAATGTCACATGATTCATTAAACGTAATAAGCCTCGTGCATTATTCGCAGAGTGGATTTATAAAAAGTTACATTTGCTTGATGCGCGTTATCGCATAAATGAGATTGCGTTGTAGTGCGCATTTATTCGATTCAACATGACAGAGGACGGAGAGAGACTTGTGACCGCACCTTTATATCGATGTATGCATTTAAACGCGACCTGCACCTGCGATGCATCTTCAATAGGGTGTCTCCATGAATGTCGCACCCACGTCTCTATGCGACTGACCCTTTTCGCATATGAAAGAATCACGCAGAGGGCATATACGCGACACCAGGAATCGATATCACGCCATCGTACACTTTCGATAGGAAGGGGAAATAGACAAGAGAAATAGTGTGTGTAAATCTAAAGCTTTTGACATATTTTGCTACGCCTAACGAAGATTCTCAAATGAAATCTTAAATTGATTCCTAAGGAATATTGTTTGTTGTAATTATCTTATATTTATAATGTTTATAACACTTTATTTTATAAAAATAAAGCATTGTTATATAGTTTCAACTTTTTTATCACAAAAGTTCGCGATACAGAAATACTGCTGTTTCAAATAATGTGAAGAAGATCAGTCGTAGACATCTAAATACGCAAAATCAGCAAAATGTTTCGTTCGCGATAGTGATGACAATTATCCTTTCACAATATAAGCTAGAAAAAAGTGGATTGGCATGCAATCAGATTAGCTCCGGATTTGATTCATTCGAGGTTTGTCGCCGCGAGAGACCCAAATGCGAACACGCACATTGCCCACAATAAATATATCGGCAGATCATCAGGCTATTTTGTATGGAAATCGCGTCTCGTCACGCACACGCAAATGGTTATTTTTCTTTCTTTCACCATATAGAATCGTCCAGAAGCAGAAATTTGTCCACCATGTATTAAATGGTAAAAATCGCTGTTAATTATTAACAACGTAATTACCTTAAAATCATTGTTGTTCTTTAATTCTCGTATAATTACTTTAAATCATAATTTTTAAGAAGCAAATATCTGAAATATTGTTATGTTTCTTGAATCTCATTAACAATATCAATAAATACAATAATTATTCCGTAATAATATTTTTTTATTTTGATGCAAAGTTTACGTTCTTTTTAAATTATGCATAATGAAAAAAATTAATTTAATTTAACATAATCATGTAAAAATTTAATATGTATTTAATGAGTTTCTTGATTTTTCGAACGCGACGCAAGATTATAAAATGACACAAAATTCATCTATTTTGCTCATCTTTCGCAACGTTAAGATTGGCTTCTGAATGTGATGAATTGTTCCGATATACGATAAAAAAATAATCTAGACGAGAAATGCATTTCTCTCTCTTTCTCTCTGTTGTGCATTAAAAAATGATTGCATAAATCCCCGCATAACTACCGAGTGCACCTAACATCCACAATCGCAGTACGATTTTCAGAGCAGTTTATTATTTTTTAAAAAGAAAATAAGTAGTAGCTAAATCTGTAGTTGCTAAATCTTAAAACAATTTTTTCACAGAGAAATATAGATTTCTTGCCTGGAGTTGTGAAATATTCATAAAACGAAATGTGCATTCTATTTTTCTATAACATTCTGTGTCCGATAACGTTACCACGAAGAAACTGAGAATTCTTAGCGCATATTTCAATATTTGAAATCGTACATAGCAATGTATGTGTATTTCCTAGCTATTATATATTAATGTAGATAAAGGAAAATAAATGAAAACTATAAGCATGATCAAATCACATTGTATATAACATTTAAATATATCATGCTTGTTATTATTATAAATATAAATTATTTAATACTCGCACAATTCGTAATTAATTTAATTTTTAATTTTTAATTTAAAGTAATTTTAATTTAAATTTTTATAAATATATTTCACTAAAACAATAATCTTAATAAAAAAGTAATTAAGATGGGTAATATTTTGTTGAATGAATACACACATTAAGCCATCCAGTAAATCAAATCGCACGTAAATATGCATAATATCAAGTGACGTGTGGCTGCTCCATTCCGGTGTGTATTGCATATGTCCAATCGCGTTTTTCTTAAACCATCCCGTAATAAAAGCGGGAAGGATGAAAGAAAGCGCCGATGGGGAACGATAGGAGCACGTTTTAATAGCGATTTAATCAGCTGCCTCGGTTTTCTCGTGGAAATGACCGGAAGGAGCGCATGTACGATGGGAAACGGTCTGTTTGTCGCGCGCTAAGCGAGTTTCCGGCACGACACGTGCCCGACACGAGTCGTCGTGAGTCGTGCGTGTCCCGCGCTAATTAGCGGCTAAGGGAATAAGCCGCCGTCGTCGTCGTGGGTTAGGAGTTACAGAAGAAAGGGAGTGTAGTGCCCTCGAGGAACTCGCTCTAGCCACTTTGTGCTTTCTATGTCTTTTCACGAGGGGTGATCGTAATGCGAATTTAATCGATCCTTTCTAAGCGGCAATTTTTCACTATCAATTTCGCTCACTCGCATCGCGATATCACGACCAACAATCAATCGAAATAATCGAGATTTAATTTTGCGTTAATTTTAAAAAACTCAAGTTAATATTGGACTACTCACATTTAGTCAAATAAATAAATAATGATAGAAGTTACTTTGTGTAAATAATTTAAAAGTTAGAATTGCAAACTCGTGGCAATTCAAGTCACAATACATCGCTTTTATCCAGTTAATAAATTTTGCGATTTAATAAAATGTTTAATAACTTGCACGAATTTATAATAGTCATTATGTTTTTTATTGGTAATTTATGTTTTTTATTGGTAATTTTTTGATCATTATCTCGCCATTGTATGCATTTCTCTTTGCAAATTCAATCAGCGTTATTCAATTGTTTAAAATTAAGGTATGGAGGTAAACTAACCACTACATA